ACTCAGATCCAAGCGTTGCTGCAGAAGCGAGCGGGGGCTCCTCCTGTAATGCACTGGTGCCCCACCCAAGATGATTTGGCGGATTCTGCGTGCCTCACGCGCGCCGAAGGCCTTCCCTTCAGTTACGGCCTCAGTTCTGCTTGGGACGATTGCTTTGCCAAGGCTGGGGCGGCCGGCACGTCTGTGGGACAGGGCACGGCTGACATGTATCGTCTTGCCTTGAAGGAGGCCCAACAGTGTGTTAAACACCTGGATTGGGCGGGCACGCGGGTGATTGATCTGGGGCTAGAGTCGTCTGAGTCGAAGGTCGGTCATCGTGCGAGGCCTACCCAGTCCGAGCCAAAGTTAAGACTCATTGTCACCATCGCCGACCGCCCCGCCCACGAGGTTTGGTTCAGTTTTGCCCGAGGCGAGTGGAGGTGCAGGGCGTGCGGGGTGAGTACGAGGACCGCCCAAGGGTTACGGCCCCTTACCTCAGGTTCCGCGCGCTGCGAACCCAGTGCAGCGATGGCAGGCCGCCCGTGCGTTCGTGCGCGCCTTCCGATATCCCGCCGTTGGTCTCCGCGGGTTCTCACCTGGCGTTGGGAGTGGCTGCAAGGCTGCTGGGGGGGCCCGCCCGAAGACCCCGAGGGCCCGACGGGGACGTCTGGGTCTCCTGGGGGTCTGGCTGGCGGCGCGACGAGCGCTGGGGAGCGTGATCCTTGCGCCGATTGCCTCCTCGCCCTGTGGGTACACACACACACATCGAGGCTGGAAAAGGAAAGAGAAGACGCAGTGTGCCCAGCTCCGACCAGGCTCCCCCCTGGAGCCACCGCAGACCTCCGGGCCGACGACTCAATCTTGTCTGACTCGCAAGCCGCTGGAACGCCCTCGATCCCCCTCCGCGCGACTGGCTCTTCGTCCTGCGAGTTGTCTTTTGACGCCCAGAGGCCCAGAAGCGGCCTGCGGACGCCGAAACCTGCGCGCTGGATACGCATGCGGAAGCCCGGCGTGCCCAGCCATAGAAGGGCCGATCGCTGGAAAGACGTCTGAGCACGTGTGATTTTCGCCCAGTCCAGCCGTAAGTCTGTGCGCGCGGGCATGGTTCGACGTCAGCGTTGTTGGTGGGAGGGGCGAGAGCGGTGAGCACGAGGGTCTTGGGCCCCTCTGGGGCTCCAAATCTGGCCGATAACACCGCGCTCCCCCGAAACGCCGACCGCGGCATTTCGATTCGACTCGGGCGTTGGCAGGACCGGGTTCAAGGGGCCTTGGTTTAGATATGTGTCCAGGGGGACTCCTCCCCCGCCACATCCCACTAATCGGAACTGCTGTCACCCGAGAAACACCGCCTACGGCAGACCTGGTTTAGCGATTCTGGCCCATGCTTTGGGCTTCGGGGCCCCATCACTAACCGGCTCCCCTAAAACTGGGGCCCTGGCTATACCCGGTCGACTTGCACCGATAGCCCGGCGCCAACTTCCTGACAGGTTTCTACTGTTCCTCGGCGCGCTGCACGGCACGCGCGTGGGAAACCGCAGCCTTTTGGCCCAGAAGAGGACCTAGAGTCCGAAACGCGTCGCCAGCTAAAAGTGGTTGAGATCGGTAATACACCAAGTGCTCTCGGGTCAAGGGCAGCAGAGGGCACCGGCACCCTCTCGCCATACGAACTTCGTGTCTCGTGCTCAGCGCTTCGTGCCTCGGCCTGCCCTCGCGCCAGGGGTAGCCGGTCTCGCCAAAACCCTCGCCCTCCAGCGCCGAGGGGCTCCGAGAAGCCCGCCGCCCGCGTGGTCGAGGCAGGCCGGTGGCGAGGTGCGGGCCAGCGCGTGCGAGGGCCACGATCGGGAGGAGGGGCAGCGCTGGAGGCAGCAGGTGGGCGGGGTGAGGCAGCAGGTGGAGGGAGGACGGTGACGACGAGGACGCGAACGGGGAGAGAGGGAGGGTGAGGATGATGCCGAGGAGAACGTGATTCAGCTGAAGCGAGCGTACAGCAAAAGCAAGGGCCGTGATAACAAAACAGGTGATAATGGGTGTGCCAGCGTGGACGTCAAGCGGTGGGCTCACGCACACTCCATGAGCAATCTGTGGGGTGCAATCAACGTGGTGCAACTTGTTTGGTGCAAGTTATGTTGTGCAAGCCGTGGGTCGCAGTCTATGCAGTGCAGTCTGCGCGGTGCAATGTGTTGGGTGCAAGACAAAAGGTGCTATCTATGTAGTGTGATTGCTTGTGCGATACGCATACGAGGTACAAAAACGCGTTGCGAAAGATACGTGCAGCTCGAATCGTGATCCAGCGCACGAGGCGCCAGCGAAGCGCCCACGGCCTCATGGGCCGAACAATCAAGACAAAACAAGCACTGGGCGCCCAAGAGGCAACCAGGGGGCGGGCACATGCACTGGGCGAGAACCTGGCAAAGCCAGCCTACACCTTCAATCGCAACAAGAACCTGTCGTGCAAGCCCTGATTGGGGAAATCCGAGGGGGCCCAGACGGGCCAGAACTGTCAACAGAAACGTCGGTGTTCGACCCTCCGAGTCTCGAGGGGCCTTCCGAGGTCTCTGCATGATGCAGTCCCCCCCCCCCGCAGGGCCTCTCGAGTCTCCAAACAGGCGCGCAGCCGGCTCGACCCTCGGATCCCTCGGGGCATCATGCCGCGGCCCGAGGCGGCGACCCAGCGCGGAGCTGATGGGCCAATTTTCCACCACCACCACCACCACAATATGTAGGACGGGGGAGAAGGGAGGCTGGGGAGGTCCTCGTCCTCTCCTCCAACTCCTCCTCCTCCTCCTCCTCCTCCTCCTCCTCTTCCTCGTCCTCCCTCTCCTACCTATGGTAGCGGTGGTAGAAAATCGGCGCATCAGGGGCGGTGGCCGCTCCGATGCGCGCGAGCGCGAGCGCGCGCGCGCGAGGTCCCGCGGGCGCACGGCGCCACTCGCGGTCGGTCTCTGCACAAAGACGGCCAGAGGAGAGGCCGCCAGCACGGCGCTCGCGGCGGCGATCACGGCGGATATGCGGGCAAGCCGCCCTCCGCGCCAAGCTCACCCTGCGCCTCCGCCGGCTCCGGCGGCGGGCCGCCGCCGCCGCCCCTGGCGCGGCGCCGCCGCGGCGTCGCTGCCGCCCGCCGTCGCTGCCGTGGCCGTCGTCGGCGCGGCCGCCGCTCACGAGCGACGAACACATCTGTGTCCGTTTGCTTGTGGCCGATGCCAAAACGTGATCCTCCACATCGTCGACAGACATTTCTTGCTTCGCGTCCAGCTGCAGCCTCCTCGGGCATATCGGACGCAGATGTCACGCACGAAAAGACTGACCGCCAGATGCCGCGCAGACCAGCAAAGGACGAACACATCCGTGTCCATGTCTTCGCGACCTGGATTCCCCCCCCCCCCACCTCGCTCGCTCGCTCACCGAGGGCACATACAAATTTCGAAGCCCACAGACTCGATGAGATAAAGACCCCTGCCCCTGCACAGCAACGCAGAGGGAGAAAGGAGTGAGCAGAGCAAGTTCTAGACCCGCCGCAACTGTCGCCTGTCGTCCTAGCGACAGTACCTCTGTGAAGCTGAGAGTGGTACCCCCTCATCCTCCTGCCGCCCCTCCTCCTCAGACCTCCAACGTTTTGAAATTGGTTAGGCGAAGGGCCCAAGCCCTTTGGGAACGCGTGCAAAGCAGGGCGCGCCTTCTAGCACATATCTATATTGCGCGCTGTGCGACGGACAGAGGTCGAGGCAGTGCGACTATGGGGTTGAGGAGCACATGCGCAGAGACGCACTGAGCTCCCTAATAGGGGTGCGATGCGTCTGCACGGTGTCAAAATCAATGTGAAACTGCATTCAAGCACTCAGGTGTGTGTGTGTGTGTGGTTTGGCGGGAGGCTTCTTGGAAGGGAGGGGCCTCTCAGAAGCCCTCAGGACTCCTAAGAAAGCTTCTTGGGAGCCAGGCCTTCAAAGAAGGCCCCGACCTTCTGAGAAGTCCCCCGCCTCCTCAGGAGGCCGCCCCCCTCGCGCCACCCCCTCGTGCGCGCCGCCGAATCACGACGCGGCCCGCATGGGGTCGGACGGTTGCGCCGCATCGCCGATGCACTGGCGACGTCGGCGATGCATCGGCGATGTCGGTGTGCAGAAGATCAGGATCCACATCGAGCGGAATCGGCAATGCATCGGCAATGCCGCACGAACCCCCGACCCCGTCTGCTCTGGCCCCACTTGGGAGGCCAGGATGTCTGCAGGGCCCGTGGATCTAGACAAGACCCCCTACTGAGACCTTGACATGGTGCCCGTCGCGATCCCTGCTCGCGAGCCTCGCGGGTCTGGGATATAGCTAAGAGTCAACTCCCGGGAAGACTTCGCACGAACGATAAAAAAACTATTACGCCCTTTTAGGGAACCGTTCGACCAAATTAAACCAACTTGAGCCCAGGATCAAGCCGGATTGACCGGGATGAAACGGGACAGTGCCAGATTAGGCCAGTTTTCGACCACGGACATGCCAGCGCCGATGCTGAATTCAACATCCCATGAAGTGCAAGCAGGTGCATCGGCAATGGGCAGAAGCGGCCGCGGCGGAAGGCCCAGAACGCCCGAGGCCTGTCGTCCAGTATGCCCGCGCCGCCGAACTCGTCGGCGTGGTAAGGACTGTCGTCGCCGTACTGATGCGGGATAAGAAAAGTCGGCATCAACACACTGGCAGGCTCGTATTGTGACGGTTTGCAGGCTGGTGTCTGACACCGCGTGGATCGTTCGCTTGTGGGCGATCGCGGCTTTCCGAAGATCGTGCGCTATCGATATCGGCCGATTCTGAGCCACCGGCGTCGCAGACATGGCTTCTGTCTGCAAAGATGAACGTTTCCAGGTCGAACGGCTGTGGGGCGCAGGCGCAAACGCTTTTCTTGACGCCGTGCCTAGGATTGGCGGGCGTCTGCGCCAAGCTGCCTTTGAGCGCCATGCAGCGCCGCGTGGAAGCCGACGGAATTTCGACGGCGTTTTAGGCTGCGTCCCTTGAGTATTCGCACAGGGGTTCTTTGCTTTTCACCGCATCACAGGGCGCAGGGTCACGGAGGTTCTCCGCGAGGCGTCGCGTGGTGCCAACAGCGACTGCGGTTTGAACCGGACCCTGTCATTACCGGGCTCTGCAGACAAGTGAACAACTTGGCTCGGGCCCTCGTTGTCGCGCGGGTGCGGGCGCGCGGATTTGATTGGGCGCCTGTCGAATGCAGTCTCGGCACATGCCGTCGACGGAGCCATGCGAGCACCGGATGGCGATGATGCGTATGTTGCTGAACAGTGAGCTCACCTCCTGGCGGCTGTCGGCTGCCCTTGGTCACAAGGTTCGACCGTGCCCATTTTGCGCGGTGCTTTCTGCGGACTGCGTCCAACACAGGGATGCGTGCGCCGTCTGGCAAAACTTCTGGCAGCAGCTTTCCGTCGATCATGCTGCCCCAGTGTGACAGCGCTCTGGCTGCAAACAGATGAGACTGGAGGGCACGCGCTGCAATGCGTCCTATCTTATTGCAGCGTGGTGGCCCACCTGCGACGCCTCCTTGTGCAGGGCTGGGCATTCCATTCCCTAGCCGATTTGGTTGCGCACGCGTGCCGTCTGTGTGACGACCCGTGGATTGCGACCAATGCGGCAAATACGTCGCAAACGGAACGACGAGCTATCCGCGCCCGTCAGCCGCCGATTCTCCGTGAAGGCTGGGTCACTTACGCTTCCGATGGCGCAGCCAGGGGCCAGGGCGGCGCACGCGGTCGCGCTTCCTCCTGCGGCTGCGTTCACTATCAGGCCAGAACGAGTCGCGTCGTTGCCTCATGCGGGGAGTTCTTGGCTGACGCAACGAACAATTAGGCGGAGTATTCTGGTTTCCACCTTGCCAGTCGTCACGCGCTTCAGAACCCTGCGCGCCGAGTTGTGTTCCAAGTGGACTCACTGCTCGTCGCGCGCCAGATGTATGGCCAGTGGCGGTGCCTATCGGCAGATCTCCGCGCAGCCTACGAGCGAGGGTTGGAGCTGCTCGCGGCTCTGCGATCCATGGTTGGTGTGCACGCAATGGCAGTATGCCACGTATACCGCGAGTTCAATGCCGATGCCGATGGCATTTGCAATGCGGCACTTGAGTTGTTTGACGCTGGAGTGCCCCCAGACGCCTGCAGCCAGTATTGCAGCATGAATTGGTTTCCTTTCATGGAACCAGCCCATAGCTGATCGGTGAACGAGGTGATCGTCGCCCTCCCAACTTCTCCGGCCAGAAGGCTGCGCTTAACTGACCAATTCGTTTTAGTCTGCAACCCACACCAGACCCAATCAATTGCAATTACCATTTGTATGTAATCGCACGCGCGAGCTCACGGCTAGCAGCTTGCATCCAACATCGAGATTTGCCACGCAGAGTCGACACGGAAACTCTCGCTGTGATCAGACGACAATACACCAGATGATATATTAACCACGCATGGCCGCGAGGACTGCTGGTTTTGTTCAACAAAAATGAAGCGGTCGCGGCTTTCCAAGGATCGTTCGATATCGATATCGGCCGATTCTGAGCCACCAACGGCGTTCAACAACCGCTCTCGCTGGAACCGCCGCGGCGTCTACACAATGCGCACCTGCCGTCAACATGCAATTTCGGAGGTCCGCGCGGATTTCTTGGATCGACGCTGGACCCACCATCCCTGGCGCGCGTAGCGCGAAGGGGATGGTGCCAGAGGCGCCGCCGACGGGGGGCTCCAGCGCCGATCCAAAGAAGACCTCGCGGGCGTCTGGAAGATTCCATGCTTCTTCCGACTCTTCTCATCTGAAGATAGTCGCGGAAGCTGTCGGGGTCGTGGATATGTCGGCTGCGCCAGGCAGCGCAAGCTCCGGCGTACGCCAGCAAGACCGCCCGGTCGGTGAGGGAGAGGGCGCCAGAGAGGATCTCCGCGTCGGCGGCGGAGAGATCCGTCTCGTCCCATTCCCGCTCCTAGGTTGCGCCGAAGAGAGGGGGTAGGAAGAGGGGGGGGAGGACCAGGCCTGTGCGCGGACGAGGGGTGTGCCAGGACGAGGCCGCATGATGGACGGGACGAGGCGTGTGCGCACACGAGGAGGGGGGGTCATGGAGCGTGCAATGAGAGAGAAAGGGGGGGCTACGAGATGTTTGACATCGCATGGCCTTGGTCACGATATCCACACCACTAGTCCTCCCCCTCCTCTTTGACGTAGCCCTAATCCTCTTCAACCCCCTCTTCGGCGCTTGGTGGTTTCTGTGTTATAACTCGGGCCTCCGGCATCCGTTTCGGAACATCCGGGCACACCTGGAAAGCTCTCGACGAGGCACAGCTGCTGGAAAACACACCGAGGCAAGAACACCCCCAAGAACCAGCCGAACCCCCCTCCAATGGCCAGCGGAACCGTCCTCACCCCCCAAGTCCTTGCCCCCCTCTTGGACGCCGCCGAGCTCCGACAGCCGCTCGCACAGCGCCGCGTCGAGCGCGGGCGGGAACCCGGCCTCCGCTATCGCAGAGAGCCTCTCCGAGGGCGCGGCCGAGACCCGCCTCCACGCGAGCGCCGGGCCGCCCTCTGGCAGGAGCTCCCGTGCCCTCGCGCGTACCTCGAACAGCAGGAGGCGGTGCTGCGGGAGGGAGTCGCGCACGATGAGGTCGTTCTCCTGGTCGGGTCGGACGAAGCGGGGGGATAGCACGGGGCCGCTCGCAAATGAGCTCACGTTGCTGATTTCTCTGGCGCCTCAGGGCTCTGGGAGGTGCCAGTGTCTTTCTCTAGCTATCACCCCCCCTTTCGTCCGCCCCAATCCTTGATGCCAAGAGCATCCGCTGCGGCTCCCATGGCCTCGCCGTCGTGGCTGTCCCGCCATTTGAGCAGAAGGAGATCCTCCGCCGACCAGTCCGTGAAGTAGTCGCGGTCGTCGTCGTCGTACGGCATGTCGCCGTAATCCGAGAAGTGGTGGTCGTTCCAGGCACCCTCGTCCATCATAACATTGTCTCCAGGGTCATCGGAGCGGATGCCCGCGCCCTGTAGTTGGCTGCACGCAAGTGGCCGTTAGCCAAGACTGATGTCTGGTGCGCGGCTCCAGGGGGCCGTGGGGAGAGGTAAACCCGAGCGCACGAGCAGCTGTCATCGCATCGCACTCGGCGATCGGGGGACCCCACATGGCCCGCACCAAAGGTCACTGCGGCGAAGAGTCACTTGGCTTTTGGACACGCTGTCGGCCAGGCGCAGCTCAGCTGCTGGCACGCACCCCGAGGCTGGAAAACCTATGAGAACCGACGAAAGCATCCGAAAACCTGGTTGCAGCAAAAGGTCACTGCGATGAGGGCCCGCACCAAAGGCCACTCTGGTAACGGGTCGCTCTCATCCGTGGCCGATGTGAGTCTCCCGCCTCGTGGTCGGCCCAGGCCGGCGGAGGCGGGGTCGCGACCGCGGCGCCGCGGAGCGCCGCCCAGCGCCCCCAGGAGCTGCGGAACGACGCCGCGGCGCATAAGGCCACCGCGGCGCGGGCCAGCTGCCGCGAGAGCTCGCGCCTCTCGGGTGCGTGAGCGAAACAGCTCGTGCAGGCTCGTGTCGTGACGACTTCAGTGTTGGCTTCTGAAGCCGCGTGGATCGCTCAAGCTTGAACGATCATGGCCTCCCGATGGTGCAGATCGTTCGATATCGGCCGAATCCGGACCACCGGCGGCGTTCAACCTTGAACGTAACGCCGAGGTCGCCGCCGAATCGACGTGGTGCGAACGTGTGTAACCGGGAAAACGCACGGCGGCAAGGCCGAAGCTTGCCGCATGCAGCAAGCTTCGCCCCCCCCCACCACCCCACCCCCCCGCCCCGCGCCTTTCTGAGTGTCCCCCCCTTTTGTCCGGCCCACGCCTTGGCCCCGTGGGCGGCCTGGCCTTATCGCCGCCGTCGAGGAGCGGCATGATGGGCTCGACCAGCTCCACCAACAGCACCCGGACCGGGCCGAGGGAGATCGAGGCAAGCAGGGCGGCAAAGATCGCCAGAAGCAGCCACCACTGCCAGGAGGCGAGGTGGAAGAACGACAGCACCAGCGTCGCCGCCGCCAGGACGTCCACGGCGAGGCTCGCCCACAGCTCCGACAGGCTCGGTGGCGACACGGCGCCCCTTCGGCGCCGGCCGCGATGCCCTCGCCTCCCTGCTGGCGCCTCCTCTCCTTCGCTCTCCCTCCCTCCCTCCCTCCCTCTTTCTCGATCGATTATCCTCTCCTTCTCGCGCTCCCCCCCGTCGCACCCACTCCTCGACTACCTCGCCCTCTCACCGGGTCGCTCAGGCCCCAGGCAGCATCCAGGGTTTCCAGTCCCCTCGCTGGTCTTTGCGAGGGACTTCGAAGCCCCAGTAGCGCACAGGAAGCCGCGCAACCACGGACAAAATCCCAGCCGACTGCCCGCAATGCGATGCGATGCGGCCCACAATGCATCAAGGAAGCCGTTGTCCGAGTCTCGGAATCTCCAATCGGCACCGACATGAGTTGAACAAATTACGGTTTTTGGCATGGCACGCATCTATTACAAACGGCGAGGACGGGTGACGGGACAATCTCTTCAAACGAGGGCCTATTCGATATCGGAACGATCGGCTTCAACCTGGCTTAGTCTGTCCAGACGCATCCGAGCCCCCCTCAACCAAGGCCGTGACCCATCCACGACAGGACAAGGGCATGACGAGGCATTGAATAATTGCTCCGCAAGACCAACACTTTGCGGCTGAGGGCGAGCTCCTACGAACTTCACTGTTCAATAACCGAGTAGCGAACAGCGATCCTGGGCACGCCAGCTGTAAGTAGTCATGCTCCAGAGGTCGTGGCCACCACAGAAATGTCACAGACCGAGGAGGCTCCACCCTTGCAAGTTCGACGCGGGGCTTGTGTAGCACGACATCTCAGTACCATCTTCAGCAAACACATCACGACCTGATGTGTATGAACAGTGGTTGGTGTTCGCGCAGCAACGAGGAGACCAACAACCATTTCTTTGCGTCTGCACTGGTTAAAAACTGTCTGCTACGCGTTTGACTATAGCGCGTACGTCGAATCATCATACGAACTCCATGCCGAATGTGGAATATGACCCACTGCCCTTGATCCTCCCTCCTGCACCCCATCTGTCTCCTTCACCTCTTCTCTCCTCCCTGTTCTTCCGCGACGACATGACGCTGGCTGGGCAACCAAAGGGGGAAAACGACTGAACAAAAACTGCTTTGCTGACGCCTCCGCGCGCCTCCACACCGCACAGGGGTGCCCGTGGAGACCTCTCGAATCCTCCCTGGACCCATCGAGCGAAGGGCCTGTAGCGGCGCGAAGTCTGCATCCCACACCTCCCGAACAAGATGCGAAACCCGCAATCCCAAGCTTGAACCACGTTCCATCCATGCCACCAAAAAGCCCGTAAGCCGTAAGCTGCCGAACATGTAAGCGAGAGCTGGAGACAAAAAAAGAAACACTGAGGGGGAGAGATGGGGAAGACAGGCAGAGAGGGAGAGAACGAAAAGAATAGAGAGATAAACAAGAGGGGGGAAGATAGCTACAAGTTCGAAACATACCGTGCTGACAGTGGTGACAAGACTAACCCACCAGCAGGATGACAATAAGTGCACACCTTCTGCGGGGTGGCGCTGCACCACAAGCAATCAACGAACTTGCGTAAGCAGCGACCGCCACTACGCTACAAGCGGCATGTTTTTAATTGTGATGTACGTTGAACGGACAGAGCATATATGTGAACACCAGGATAAATAGCAGGACGAGCAGGCGGCAAACTCGAATCGGCATGATGACTGGGCATCCATGACACATGACCAGCACCGTCTCACGCACCCGTGCTCGTAGCATGCGGGAACGACTAGCAATTTGAAACAATGGTTCGAATATGGGACCAACGCCTGACACGTAACGGACCAGCACGTGCGACGACACAACGAATCGGATACCTGAATTCCCTCCAACGACCACGAGGAAGCGAGCATACGACTGATCGTTTGCGAGTTGGGCAATGGTTCGCACTTGGAACAATGAACAGAACATTTGGAAATGCTTGGACGGTGGAGGCTTCAACAAGGCATGCGTCTCCAGCAGAACGCATCCTAATGTTCTGGCGGGGTGGCGCATATCCTAGACTCAGTTCGAGGCATATGCCCTGCAGCGCTTCTGGACCTACATGTCGAGAGATACCCCTGGGGAGTAACTCCTGCGAGCGACGCTTCGTAATCGAGCATGCCCATGGCTGAGAAATTCGTCACAATCGAGAATCACAATCAAACAGGAGATCCTCGTTGCGCACTGCCAGAACGGCACCTCCTCTGCGGTGGCGTCCGCGCAGGCCAGCACCACGGTGAGCTGTGGACCCAGTGCAGCGGCTTCCGATGCCACCGAGAGGGTAGGAGAAGAGGGAAGAGGAGCGCGTTGCTCAAACCCAGCCTCCGCGGGACACGCCCTCAGGGGTCACCCAAATCCGGGGCCCTGAATCAGTGCACGTCGACCGCCGCACTTTCCGATGGGAGCGCCACGCACCGCCCCCACCCCTCCGGGCACCTGTTGACCTCACAGGGACATGCATAAACTATACAAGTCTTCCCCGCGCAAGGGTGGGACTTTGCAGTCCGAATGAAGTCGTTGGCGGCCCAGGTCGACAAGGGCTCCACGTAACAAAACGCCTTGTGGACCGCCTCTTCTCCCACATCCACTCTTCCCATCCCCGATCGGACGCGGTGCAGCCTATGGTTGAAGACACGAGTGGGCGATACGCGAAATCCGTGCAGACCTCCATGGATTTCTTTGTTAATGCAACCTCTCCTTCTTCAATTCGTCGGTAATGCCTTTGATGTGTGCCCCCTGAGAAAACAAACGATCTTCGGCATGAGAAAACCCGATCCTGAGGGAAGCGGGTCCTGGATCCTGGGACCTTCCCCCAGGACGAGCTCTTCCTCCGGAGACGCTGGTTGACCGTCCAGGGGCCCGTGGAGGGCCACACGAGACCGGAAACTGCCAAAAACCGCTGGACCCGATTGCTTCATGGCAGGACCCGTGTCTCGCTCCGCGCGCGAGGAGGGCTTTTTTTTTTTTCCTGTTTAGCCAGCATCACATTCACCAGGCAGCGATGACCCAGTCAGCTGCAGGATGGAGAATCGTAACAGCCATGCAGTCCCTCAGCGTACATCGGAGGAACGCCTGGCCAGCTGTGAATTTTACACAACAAGACACGAAAGACAAGACACCGTCGGATACAAATTGGGCGACATCACCTGACAAAAAAATATCATAACACCCTCACAGCATGCAGGATTGTCCACAAGGAGGAGAGGAGGCTTGTTCGAGGAGGGAGCGAGGACTGCCAGTTCCAAGGGGGCGGAGGAGTCCGCAGGCGAAGCACGGCAGGCTCCTTCCCACGGTGTGTGCCCCCGGAACATGCCACCGCGTGGGCCACCTCCACCGTCCAGGGACCCACTCAGTGGTCGCGAGGGGTGGGACGAGATCGGCGACGACGGCGACGAAATGGCGCTGCTCCGTGCTGCCGCCGCGCGCGAGGCGGCACGCCTGTGCTGAAGGCTCCCACAGTCACCGAAGACGCGGGACATGGTTTATAACGCCGCGCGGGCATTCAATCTTGATCAGAAGCCTAAAAAACAACGAACGAGGCCAGCCACGTACGTGAATGTGCCCCTCGGTTCGGGAGGCTGCCCTTGTGTTACGAACGCTCGCGCCATGCGTTCTCTCGAAGCCCATGCGAACTCGTGCATACGAGAAGTCTTCGTTTCGCTCCTAACTTGACAATCTCCGCAGTCCCCTGGACACTGTCGACCCACTGTTTCGCATGGTTTTTGCGCTGCGGAATTGCAGGCCCCAGGACCCGCAACGACCTCCGAGAGCGCGCTTTCCCTTGAACGCCCGTGCCTGCGTCGCTGTCGAGTCGAGGCGGCGCGAACCTGCCACACATCCAGAGGATGAGCATAGGCCGCGTCGAGGAAACAATCCCTCCGCTTTGGCGGATCTTCCCCCCCTCCTTCAGTATGTTGTTCCCTCCTCCTCCTCCTCCTCAACCTCCTCCTCTTCCTCCTGCTCCTCCTGGTCCTCCTGCTCCTCCTCCTCCTCCTCCTCCTCCTCCTCCTCACCCTCACACCTCCTCACTCCCGCTCCCTCGTACACCATCCCCCTCCTCCACCACTCCCTCCTCTGCTCCGTTTCCCTCCTTCCTCCGGCCTCCTTCTCCGCCTCCTCCTCTTCTTCTTCCTCATCCTCAGCCCCTTGTCCTTTTAACCTAAGGCCCCCCCCGACGTGTCGGTAATTAGGGCGGACTGGGCGTTTCACCTGAAACGTCAGCATCATGCATGATCCTGAAACTTGAGATTTGCTCCAGCTTCGCAGATGAAAGACGGATCCTTTTGAACATGTGATTCTCGCCTTAGTGCCGCGAATGCTCGTCTGAACAGTTTACACCAGCTTCAAGGCGGGTGGCTTTCAAAATGTTGCTCTCGCCTTGGCGCCGCGCACACTCATGCTAAGAGCTGGCAGCAATTACACAGACGGAAGGCGGACGGTAGTCAAAATGTGGATTTCGCCCTAGCGCTGCGCGTACTCGTCTGAACAAGATACAGCAGCGTCAAGGAAGGAGGGCGGACGGTGTTCAAGACGTTGTTCTCGCCTGAACGCCGCGCGCATTCGAATGAAAAGTCAGGAGCAATTTCAACAATGAAGGGCGCTTCTTTTTCAACATGTGACTCTCGCCTTAGCGCCGCGTACATTGATTTGGAAAGTTTGAAACATTTCCAAGGGTTCGCATGGCCAGCCCCAGGGATGGTGTTTTAGCACGATTTCGGATGATTCAGCACTGTCTGGACGCGACAGTCACGCTGATTCGCGGCAGTGTGCTCCCAGGGATTGTGTCCTGGCAAAGTTCCGGAGTCAGGACGCAACAGACACGTTATGTTGCGGTGTTCGTTGTTTTGTGGCGTTGACGTTCAAGGAATTGCGTTCTGGCGCGATTCAGGAATGATAGAATGCAACAATCAAGTTGATTCACGACGCTGAAGTCCCAGGAACGGTGTCTTGGCACGACGGTTGTCTTCCAATGGGAGCATTTCCCGCAATCAGAAATATCAATGTGGGGCCCTATGAACTGGAAACTTGGAGGGAGGATTGATTGCAACATCGGTGATGCATTTTGAGCTTGCACTTGTCCTCTTCCCTCCTCATCCGCCTCCCTATCCTCCTCATCCCTCCACCTTCTCCTCCTCCTCCTCCAAATATCCGCCATCCTGCCTCCCCCATCCTCATCCGCCATCCTGATCATCAATGCTCCCCCTCCTCCTTTTCCTCCTCCTCCTCCTCATTTCTCCCTCCCCCTCCCTCCTCATCACTGCTTCGTCTCCTCCAGCTCCTCCCTAATTCCCTTCTAGAGCGTCCTAGATTCCCCCCTTGTCCTCCCTAACTCCCCTCTCCCCTCCCTCCTCCTCGCCACCACGAGTGCAGAGGGTAACACACAGGTTTCAGCCATACCAATATTAGCGGGTAGCTCATAGGTTTCAACCATGCTCACAATCACGGTGAGAGCGGCGAAGACGACGAGGACGACGAGAACATAATGACGACCACGAGGACGACAAACGCCCAGACCTCTCCCAGGGTGTACCCCTACCAGCACGTCGTGGCGAACCCAGCCATTGCGACGTGGGTGCCGACCAGGAGGAAACTTCGATCCTCGACGGCGACGACTCTCCAGCGACGCCCAGGCGAGCCACACCTCTCCCCCGTGGGCCGAGCAAATGCTCAAAACCGCGAAATAACAAAAACGTGATCCTCGGTGCTCCTCGATTCCCGACAGCGACGACGAGCACTGTCCTGGATCCTTGGTTCCCATTCCTGAATACTCGATACCTCGACCCTCGACGTCTCGAGGACTCCATCGTCCATCCCCGAGCCAAAAAGCATCGAACAAAAACCTTCGACAACGACCTGCCTCTGGGCGGCGATGAGCGAGCGACGGCGACCGGCCACCGACGGCAACAGCGACGACGACGGCGAGCGAAGGCCACCGATCCTCGAGCCCCAAAGCAGAAGGACATCTCGATCCGTGACCCCGGAGGGACAGCCTGGTCCATTTGCTGGAGCTGCGTCCAGCCGTTGCGACGAACGCTCCCGGAAACGATCTGACGCCTATGAACTGCCCACGTCGATCGAAGACGACGGCGGCGACGAGAGACGGCGACCTCTCTAACGGCGGCGACGAACGCGACGGCGTCGGCTACAGGCAGGCATGACCCAGGCTAAGAGTGACCTTTGATGCGCGGCTTTCGGGGGGGGGGGGGGGGCCAAACTCAAGCGCGCAAAACGCTGCTATCGCATCGCGTTCGGCGATCGGGGGGCCCCTGTGGGCCCGCACCGAAGGTCACTCGGGCAACGGGTCACTCGTACGCGTAGGCGACAACGGGCCACCGCCAGGACCACGCCGCTCCCCGCGGAGGCCGGCACGCAGGCTGCGGCGGCGCCGTCACCCTTGAAATGCGCCGCCCTGCCCCTGCCCGGGGGGCGAGGCCTCCTCGGGGGTCGGAGGCGTGCGGGGGGAAGTTGATCCTCCTACTCTTCACCCTCACTCCTCACTCGTCCTCCTCCTCGCTCCTCCTCGCTCCTCCTCACTCGTCCTCCTCCTCCTCCTCACTCGTCCTCCTCCTCCTCCTCCTCACTCCTCCTCACTCCTCCTCACTCCGTTGGGGCGTTCTGTGGCCCGTTGGGGCTTTCTGTGGCCCAGTTGAGGCTTTCTGTGGCCCGTTGGCCCTGGTGGTACCGCCGCCGCTTGTGAACACCATACCCCAAACACACGCACTGAAACCTTAGAGACACACGCACGACACGCGCTTATATATTGGATGCAAGGGATGAGCGGAAAGAGGATGAGGATGAGCGGGATGAGGATAAAAGGGGGCTAATATGTACTGAGCATTGGGGTGGGCGGAAGGAGGATATTGAGACAACTATTACAACGACGATGGCGAGGATGAGGTTGATGATGGCACTCGGGCGGTGGAGAAGGGGAAATGTGAGGATGGTCGGGAAGGGCGGGGATGAGGATGATAATGGTGGGGGAGGGTGAGGACGGATGAGGACGAACTGCCGCTGGCACCCCCCCTCCTCGTCCTTCTCCTCGTCCCCTTCTCACCACCATTTTCCTTGGTCGTGAGCGTTTCCTGGCCCACAAGGGGACGCCCTGGGAGATTCCATACAAAAAAAAACTACACAGGCTGATCGAGGACCCCGCTCTGGGAGTAGTCCTGTGCACTGTCTCTGGTCTTCACCCTCACCAGTTCTCCATTGCCGACGCCCCGCGGGAGCTAGGCATGTTCGACCGCAAGGCCTGGAGCCACCTGGGGTTTTGCTACGACGTGGACCTCGGGATCGATGCTAGCAACCTCGTCTACAACATGACGTGGGCAGCGCTGGTGTGGGTCCTCGGACTCGGCACGCCCTGGAAAAAGAAGAGCCTGGCAGTAGCTGCTGGATCCCTCCCCCCCATGCCCAAGGTGCAGGGCCGCAGCCACATACCTAAAGACAACAAGCGTTGCACCCCTCCTGAGATTCTACATCCGCTCCCGAAAGCCTGGAGCGCAACCACGGGAGATTGCAGGAGGCACCGCGAGCACCCTGGCATGGAGAACCTGGCGCACTTACTACGAGCAGCCAAAGGCGGCTCCACGCTGCGACAAGGCTCCCGTTGCGACAAGGACACTCCATCCCTTCGGGTTCTCCTGGTAGTAATGATGATCCAGCTCCGCGAGCCCCGCGCCACACTGTGGCCCTTCCCGTACCCTGAGTCAACGGGAGACATAACGGAAGCCGTCATGGGCATCTGCGTCCCCTGGCAAAATGTCCACCTGGAGTACAGAGACGCCTTTGCCAACGCATGGGGCTTGACGCTCAACGCCCTGACCACATTGCACGGTAAGGTCGAGGACGCCATCCTGCACATCAGCACGGTTGCCACGTTCGCGCACCACCACCCGGTCGCCCGAGCGCACAGGTGTCCGCGCACATGGGCGGAGATGCAAGGCAGCAAGTTCACCCTGGAGGCGCCCATGAAGGCCCTGGAGGTACTCGTCAAGCCGGCCAAGATCGATCCCCTAGGAGAGCACAGCCGCTCCATCTGCGCCCTGCATATGGAGCTCACCGGGTCTGACCAGGGACTCGGGCGCCCAGATTCCATGGCAAGCCTGCAGTACATCGTGGGTGGTACTGCCATGTCCACGAGACGGCTCGATCACGACAGACCGGCAGCCCCCGCCCCAGGAGTGCTGCTGACACCCCCAAGGGTAACCGACGGACGGTTCGCCAGCACGGGCCTCAAGGAAGCCCTGTTCAACTGCGACGGAGACGGCAGCTCTAAGAAAGGGCTCAAATACCTCGCAGGCACGTGGGAGGATGACGACACAAGGGCGCTCCTGGCTCAAAACCGTGGACAGGCGCACATTCTGGGCAAAAACTGCAAATGGCTATGCGAGCAATGCTGGATCGTTTCCGTGGAGCAGAGAGGCATTCCCACGCCCTCTGCCCCGCCTAACTGTCATCCGGACAAGGCCATGGGCAGGCGAATCCTGGACCGCGCGACCAACCTGGCAGGCAAGCCACAAGACAGGAAAGCATCAGTGCTCCCATCCCTGGCACACCTACCTCTCGGATACGGGCTCGCGCCAATGGCGGCGACGCCGGGGTCGTTGCGCGACCTAGTTATGGTGGCCTCCAGCGCCTTCCCGCCACGGTGCGCCAACATGACCCTCCCAGCCCGCAAACTTGCGGACGGAAGGCTAGGCTTTGACGCCCACTCGACCAACACCTACACAGCCAGATCCAACACTTGCCAGCCAGGGGCTCCCCTGCTTGTCTGGAGAACTGACCGGCCCGCCCTGGGCTGCTTTCTCTGGCGGCCAGACGCAGACGTACCCGTCTGCAGCGACGCAGGCCCCCCCCCCTGGGAGGACATGCCAGCACTCTGGATCGAAAGGAAGTGGAACGCCAGTTGGTCCTGCCGAAGGTGCCTGGTGCACATTTGGAACGTCGCCCCCGGCACGCTGGACCGCATTCTCGACGAGCAGTCAGCAGACGTCCACCCTAGGCTGCCATCAAAACGCGACACCCCTGCAGGCATGGAAGTCGACACACCCGACATTGCAGTCCACTTCCATCCTGGGGCCGCCAACGCAGCTGCAGTGGGCGCCTACTCCAGACCGACGGACCGCACAAGTGGAGAACACTCCACAGCCGGAGGTAAGGGCTCTCTCGGCAGCGACCCACACTCGCGCGAGGTTTCCAGGCTCCTGGAGATCGACGCCCTGCCACCAAGAATCGCCCCACCGTCGGGTTCCCTGATACCGACCCTCTCCACAGCAAGACTGCCTGGGCGGGATATCAACGAACCTGACTCTACCGGCATACATCGCGCACTGGTGCGGTTTCTGCTGGAGTGGAGCCCCGAAGTCTACAGTCAGTGGACTGACTACGCAAGGCAGCGCGGGGAAGGGATTCTCGGTGACAAAACTGACGAATCGTCATGGCCACCCAGCAGGCTGAACCCATTCTTGGTCCGCATCTACGGGCAGAGCATCCCCCCAGACTGCCACCCAGCAGCAATCCCCCAGGACGGCAGGAGGAATGCGGCCGCCCGGGTCGTCTTCCATCTGTCGAATCATGATGTATACGCGGGCAAGTGGCGAGAGCGCGCCTCCCTCCTGGCAGAGCAGAGAGGGCGCAATCCCTATCCCTGTCGTCACGACAGCAGCACCCTACTGGGCTATCTCGCGGACATGGACGCCTCTGCCCTGGCTAATGGCACCATTGCCTCCCTGGCCAGGCAAGTTCCAATCCAGACAGCCTCCAGCACAACCGGACAGGCCGACTTCCCTGCAGCCGGTTGGCTTGACGGGCCCAGGGAAGCAGCGGGCGAAGGACCCCAGAACAGCACGCGGCGCGTCCCGCTTGAATCCAAGGAAAAGGCAGCAGGACACGCGGGAGCAGCAGGCAGCAGCGAACCGCCACAGCCACCTCGCGAGGCGCCCGGCGGTCCCGAGGTCAAGGGCGAACCACCGCACGACCCAGGCGCAGCGGCCGACCCGAGACGGGCAGTCCTGCAAGGTAGAGACAGAAGCGCACGAGCCCCATGGGCCATCCGATACCTTTCAACCAGACTACAGCCCAGAGAAGGAGAGGAGCCCCAGCAGGGGCTCTGAGGCCGACCCCCTGCAACTCTTTCTAGAAGCACGCAGTGACCCGACGGACACCGCCGTCCAGGACCCATGGGCGCCCTTCGCGCAATCCTTCGACCAAGGCGCAGCCAGCGGGAGAGGTGAGCACGGCAGATCGAGCCCCGAGAGGGGCGCCGGGGACGCCTCTGGGGGCAACCCACCGCCCTGGAAGCAAGATAGCGCGGGGGACGCCAGTGGGAGCAGCCTACCGCCCTGGAAACAAGGACACATTCGCCAAGCCACGGGCATGCGGGCTGCGAAATCTCCCAGGTGCAGCGGGCTGGGGGCTGCGAAATCTCCCAGGTGGAACCCAGTGCATCTGGAACCAAGAAAAGGCAGCAGCTCCGACCACATGGCCTTCGGACACCTCAGGGACCCTGTCTCTGGCGGCCCCATGTACAGATGCTCCCCAGCCGACTCCGAACTGGATAAGACGGAGGAGATCCAGGCCAAGATTGCGCGACTGCAGGAAACGCTCCTCGGTGGCGTCTTCAACGATATCTAGCACGCGTGGGCCAAGCGTGCGGCCCAAGGGAAAGGGGGAAAGGCGGCTACAAAAGCAACCCCCGGCTCAACACAGACCACACCTGCAAGAGCTTTCTGGGCGCCTGGAGGCGGGCTGGCTTCGATGCGTACCAGATGGATCAGGCGCACAACCTCGAAGTCGACCAGGGCTCGATCCGCCGCAACCGCATCTGGAAGGGCGCCGGGACGCATGTCAGAGACGCCCAGGCACCCTGGTCAGCTGGTAGCCGGGACGCCCAGGCACCCTGGTCAGCCGAGACGCATATGGACGGGCGCCGGGGCGCCCGGGCACCCTGGTCGGCGGGTAGCCCAGCAGCCGGCGCCGAAGGATGGCGCGGCTGGCAGGAGTGGTCAATCTGGCGCGAAGGTTGGCCCAAATGGAATGATTCCGACTGGGAAGGTGGGGGGCAAGCGCGGTCTCCTCAGCGGGATGACCACCGCGACCCCGACAAGAGAGGGCGCTGGTGGGCGTGAAACGACACCGCGGGCCACTGCGCGGGTCTAGCGCGGATCTGGCAGCGGCCAACAACCATGCCCATCTTCCCAGCTCGCTCAATGCCTCGAGGCGTACTCGCCCCTCTTGTCAGCGAGCGCTGGCCCGCCTCAGGGCCCGTCTCACCTCGCTACGCCCGGCCTGCCGGCCGCAATGCCTGCGGGGCTGCCAATCGCTGGGGCAGGCGGCCGCCCCCACCTTACTTCAAGGCGCAGCATAGCTAGACAGCCTCGGCTGGTTAGACGCGGGTGCAATGGCGCACGG